GAAATTAAACTCAAGCAATGTAATACATTCTACAGTCACCCATAAACTCACTCAGGTACTTACTAATATATCAACAAAATTTCTACACCACTTAGCTATCCATGATATTAAGATACATTGTTCCAAAGAAGTCATCCCTCAACTTAAAACCACTCGTACTAGAATTTGGACAAACAATTTATAATAAAAGGAAAAATGTAGGTGATTCTTGCAACATATAAGGGGTTAATCAAAATCTATCAAACTCGCAATTGGAATACAATCGTACTCGCAATCTCACTTGAATATGTTCAAACACACTCACATAATTTGCTTACTCCACACAACTAACTCAACAGGTCACATCAACAAAAGATTCCACTACTTTGAAGAGCACTCAGAAAAGTATTCAAATATTACACACCATGTGTAGACACCCTATTTTGACCGGCCCTAAGACTTGGGTGTTTTCTTTTGACCACCCCATGATGAAAATTGAAATATGTCATTTTATGAATTTCGCAGCTGAAACTCAAATTGAAGTTTTAATCCCAAACCTCACCCATTTTGGCCATCACTAATATTTTATTAATTTGTAGCATTTTATAATTGTATATATTTTTATATAAATTTATGTGTGTGTACATTTGTTTTAGGTATGTTTTATATAAATTGATAAATATTTGATAAAAAAAAGAAAATAATCAAACAAAAAAATAGAAAGAAAAAAGGGTGAATTACACTAATAGTCCCTATAGTTTGGGGCTTTTGTCACTTTAGTCCTTGACTTTTCAATTGTGACACATTTGACCCTGAATTTTGAATCTTGTTCCAAATAAGGACAATTGAAGATATCATTAGATTTTTCAAGGGTAAAATTGTTAATTTGATAAAATATAAACTAATTTAACAAAAACAAATGTCAAACAAATATTTTGAATTTTTAAAAATTATTTCTACTTACTAAAAATAAAATTATGTAAAATTGATAAATCTTTTAAACATTTATTTTTTTTTTACCAAATTAATTTTTATTATGTGTTTGGATGATGATCATGTAAAATTAATTTTAAAAAATTAACCATGTAATTTTTATTAATTTTTATCAATTTTACATAATTTTATCATTGGTGGATAAAAATAATTTTTTAAAAATTAAAAATATTTTTTGACATTTATTTTTGTCAAATTAGATTATATTTTATTAAATTGACGATTTTGCCCTTGAAATTAAACAATGGAATCTTCAATTGTCCTTATTTGAAACAAGATTCAAAATTCATGGTCAAATGCGTCACAATTGAAAAGTCAGGGACCAAAGTGACACAAGTCCCAAACTATAGGGACTATTTGTGTAATTTGCCCAAGAAACAAAAAAAGAGTCGGAATGATGGGGGGTGGGTACAAATTATTATGATTGAGCTGGTAAAAGAATATAAAAAAAAATAGGAAGTGGATGATGTTACGATGAAAGGGGATACACACAGGTGTAAAATAAATAAAAAAGAAAAAAAAGTTAGGGATGGAGTTAAGAGAATATTTTATTTTGAGAGAGTTACATGGAAGACACAAAAAAAATAAAAATAAAAATAAAAAATACTACTCGATTCAATTCGGTGGAGATCGTGGGGTGCTGAGTGGGGTGATAAAACAAAGAGAGAAAAAAAGGTGAAAGAAAGGAGCGGCTGCACTATCACACTCTCTCGGGGGGCTTGGTTAGGAGATGGATAAAAAGAATGGTTTTTCACCATCTCAAGGCACGGGAGCTCTCTCTCTCTCGCTTCAGTTTTTGATTTCAAATGTAAACAAACAAGACATGTCCTTCATGATCACCAAGCTTTCTCTCTCGTGCATGAACCCATCTCAAGACACAGTCTCAGCTTTCTCCAGGACCGGCCGTGAGATTTAGGGCCCAAGGCTACACTTCGAAAATGGGGCCCTCTTACATTGAAAAAAAAATTATGAATAAAACGATAAATTATAATTTTTTTATTTGTTTATATCTACAAAAAAAATTATTTGCACATATAATCATTAAAATTATAAATAAAAATTTACTTTCATATATTAAGATAAGAAACAATCATTACAAATATTTTAAAAAAATAAAAATCTAGTCTTATTGCTTTTTTTGGGGTCTCATGTTTAATTGAGCCTATAGTATTTGAGTTTTTTTTTTATATATCTAAAACACAAAATTATATTTGGGGCCCCTATTTTTAGCCCAAATTTGGGGCCCAAGGCGCAGGCCTCTCTTGCCTGCCCTCTGGGCCGGCCCTAGCTCTCTCTCTCTAGCGGTATCTCTCCCCCTCTCAGCTGAAAAAAAAAACATCACTCCATGCACACCATACACAACACACACCATTGACACACACCATACACACACAGACACCATTCACACGGCACACACCACACACCACACGGCATTAGACACACACAGGGGAGGGACATCTCTCTCTCTCAATTTTTTTAAACTCTCCTAGCTACACACACAGACACACAAACACACACACCTAGGTTACACATGCATATGCTCTCTCCTCTTTCCTCTCGAAAAACACACAGGTATACGCACATGCAAATGGGTCTCTCTCCTCTACTCTCTCTCTCTCTGCGTGCTGTAAGTGGTGATCGGCAAAGGGGGGCTTAGGTTTGGATGGGCTTCAACAGGAGGAAGCTGTCTCTCTTTCTCCGTGTTTTGGTCTCTCTGCCATGTTGTAGGGCTTGATGAAGAATACTTGGATATATTTTGAAGATATTGAGTTTGGTGGTTGGATGATCCATCTCTACTTTCAACTATCTGTTACAGCTTCTCAAAAGGCGAGCTACTTTTGCACTCTGCCGAACCGATGCAGTTGCAGAGATTGTCAAAAGCCATGAACTTGAGATTTCTACTCTTGCCACTTTATCATCTCTGAAGGTTCTAAGTGAAAATACTGATGCTCCAGGTGGGTATGAGAGCTACGTGGTGGAACACAACAAAAGAAGATAGGCTCTAAAACAAGGGTGGTGCAGTGTTGATGTCATCCTAGTGATGTAACAGGAGGTCTGGTAAGGAGCTTGAGAAGGAGCCCAAATTCTTGAAGAATGGTGATGCTAGTATGGTGAAGATGATTCCCACAAAGTCCATAGTGGTGGAGACTTGTTCAAATGCAAAGACAGAAGGCTTGTGGGCTGTCCTTGAAGAGGAATCTGGTGAACCCCTGAACAACCTAATGAATTCATGGACAAAGCAGAAGTGTTGGTTCATAGGGTAATTAAGTAATTTAATCAATTAGAATTTGATAAGTAAAGAGAAAGACCCTCCACTGTAGCAGGTACAATCCATTGCAGCCCTTACGAATTCAATAGATCAAACCAGATTTGCCAAACAAAGGGACACCAAAGCATGGCATGAGATACTGTTTCCATATGAGACCGACAGAACACACAATTCACTGAAACATTATGACCCAAAACAACAATTCTATTAAGGAACACTGAAGTCTTTAACTTCCCCTTCCAGGCCAACCACCTGAGGAACTGAACTTTTGGGGAAGAGACATTAGACCACAACATTTTTGATACCCCCACAGAACCAGAAGACAGTAGGAGATGATAAAGAGATGAGCAGCTAAACTAACCTGATGAGCATGACAACCATTTCCACTGATCCAACTTATTATAGGTTCTAATCAGAGACTGGTTCAGCATGGTGTATAATCTGTCCAACTCCTCAGCCTCCCAGGAAAATAAAGCTCTACGAAAACTAGGTTCCAACCTCTGAAGCAGCCATTTCTTTCAACCAACAACTTCAAAGAGATGTCCTTTTCATTTGACAAACTGAATAGTCTGGGGAAGTTATATTTTAAACATTAAGTCCCAAGCCACTGATCCAACCAGAAACTCACTCTGGCCCCATCCCCAACCACAATTTGAGTGTTTTCCAGAAAAAGATTCAGAAGATTTGGATTTGATTAGGATATACTAAGAATACCCCCCATACTACTGAAAATTAAATGTAGCAGTAAAATCAGGCAACCACCTCCCAGCAGTTGGTTGATACCTACTACAAATAACTTTCTTCCAAAGTGCATTGTCCTCAACACCATACTTCCACCACCATTTAGCCAACAAACAATCATTCACCCGCATATTTTCCTAACCCCAAGCCCATCTTGATCTTTACTTTTAGACACCTCAGCCCATTTAACCAAGTGAATCTTCTTTTTCAAATCAAATCCACCCCACAAAAGAGATGCTTGCAACCCTTCAATTACTTTAACCACAGAAGTAGGCATCTTAAAGATAGAAAGATAATAAATGGGGAGACAAGACAAGACTAATTTAATAAGAGTTAGCCTCCCCCCGAATGATAGTAGCTTTCTCTTCTAGGATGCCAATTTGGCTCTAACCTTATCAACAACTGGTCTCCAAGTTTTTTCGATCTTGGATTGGCACCCAAAGGCAAACCAAGGTATGGAAAAGACAGGCATTTGCTTTTGCAATGAAGTCTGTTAGCAAACTCCTCAACTAGCTGATCAAGCACACCAATTCCACTCACAAGACTTTTGGAGATATTAATCTTCAGATCAGAAACTAACTGGAAACATCTCAAAATTCGTTTTATTGTCAAAACCTCCTCCCAAACCGCCTCACAAAAAATTATAGTGTCATCTGCGAATTGAAGATGTGATATAGCTGATATTGAATCACCGTGGCCTATAACAACCCCCTTGGTAAGAGCACTTAACAAAGCCCTTTGCAATAAAACATTCAACCCCTCAGCAACAACATTGAAAAGGAAAGGTAACAAGGGGTCCCCTTGCCTGAGACCTTTTTCAGGGACAAATTTAGACGTTGGAGAGCCATTCACCAAAACTGAAATTCGAGAAGAATGCAAATTCCTTAATCCACTTTCTCCACCGAACCCCAAAACCGAACACCGTCAACATAGACATAAGGCACTCCCAATTAACTGAATCAAACGCTTTTTCGAAATCTAGCTTAAGAATCAAACCTTTTGCCATATTCTTCTTCTATCAATCAACAACTTCATTTGCAATTAAAACCCCATCCATAATGTTTCTACCCCCAAGGAAAACAGATTGAGCCTCTCCAATCACTCTAGGAACCACTAGCTTCAGCCTACTTGTCAAGACTTTAGCAAGGATTTTGTGTAAAGATCCTATCAAGCTAATTGGCCTATAATCTGAAATAGTAGCTGGGCCATCAACTTTTGGAATCAGTGTAATGATAGAGCTATTAACCCCACCAGCCAACTTCCCATTGTCATAGAATTCCTTAAAAAATTGTAGAACATCAACTTTAAAAATCTGTCCACATTTTTTAAAACACATCAAATTAAGCCCATCTGGCCGAGGGGCCTTATTTCCATCACAACTTTTAATAGCTACCCACACTTCCTCTTCAGAAAACTCTACTTCAAGACCATCAACAGCCGCATCATGACCAATAGAGTTAAAATGCCCTAACAACTTTGGCCTACTTGACCAATATTTAGAGAATACCTTTTTAAAATGAAGGAATATTTCTTGTTTCACTCCACTTGGTTCCTCATGGAGCACCCCCCTCACTGAAATTGAACTCAACAAATTTCTATTTTGCCTCTTTGATGCTACTACATGAAAGAATCTTATATTCTTATCACCCTTCATGTACCAGTCCAATCTGGATTTTTTGTAGCCATATCCATTCAATCTTCTTATTTAAGGCCCACACCTCCTTTCTAAGGTCTCTCCTACAGCCAACCTCAGAGTCATCAAGGTCCCTGGATTCGGCTAGCAAGTCAAGACTATGAAGCTTCTCCTTTGTTGTCTTGAGAGCAAGATGGACATTTCCAAAAACCTCTACATTCCATCTTTTTAAGGCCAACCTAAGGTTCCTGATTTTAGCTTGGATCACAAAACTAGCCCAACCTGATACACCAACCTCCTCCCAGGACTTCTTCACCACTAATTGAAACTGCTGATGCAAAATCCAAACATTCAAAAAACGAAATGGTCTTGGACTCCAGTCCCGACCATCCTGCATTAATAAGAGTGGACTATAATCGGACACACCTCTAGGACGGCCCCATAGGCAGAATTTGAATCTTTCCAACCACTCTACAGATAACAAAATCCTATCAATTCTGCTCCATCTTCCCCTATCACTTGAGTTGCTCTACGTGAACTGTCTACCTTACATAGGAAGATCAAAGAGCTCCAAATCTTCAATAAACTCATTAAAAGCCCTCATCCATCTATCCACTCTTATGCACCATTTTCTTTCCCCTATGGACCTAATTTTATTAAAATCCCGCTCAATACACCATAGAACACTGAATTCTGGTTTAAGATTAGACAAAACCTTCCAAACATGATTCCTCCGATCTACATCATTAGGTGCATAGATATTAATCAACACACAAGTAAAAACAGGTAAAATCGTACCTGATAGAAGGATGAAGCTTCGAGAGCAATAGCACTCGAAAAGTGAGAACACAGAAGGCTTCCAAATACACAGAATTCCCCTTGCCAGCCTAGCTGCATCAACTGACATATAATCCATGTCTTCAACTGTCCAAATAGATCTAACTACCTCCAATGTGAGTTCGGATTTCTTTGTTTCTTGCAAAAATACCATGTCGATATTTCTTTCTTTAAGTAATGTTCTAATTTTCCTCCTTTTGCTAGGTCTCCCAAGACCCCTTATATTCCAGGATAGGAGTTTCATTGAGAACAGTGAGCACTCCCCAGCCTCCAAGTGGAACACCTTACACAGGTGCACCACCTTCCCTACGAGCGGCTTTCCTCGCATCATCTTCCTCCATCCTTACAATTTTCCTCAAGGATTCCTCTTCAGATCCATCGAAGTTAATGCCCAAAGCTTTCCCCACATTAATTGTTTCCCTTGCCTCTACCATGATAGGATCATCACTATGTGAGCTTTGTCCTTCCGATTTTGAGCGTGAAAACACTGAAGCAGCAACTCTGAACACCGAACCTTTAACCCAGTTCTTCACAGCCGGTGAACCACCACTCTGCAAGCCCCTCATTTGAAGTCGATAATCCCTACCAATCCTCGCTCCGAATCCTTTCTGAGCAACTATAGCTTTTCTCTTGAGGATGTTGGCCCTAAGATGAAGTTGACACCTACTTAGTTCTCCCCAAAAAGTGCCGACACAATCAATGGGTTGTGGATCAGAGATAAGATGGTCCAGCTCCTAGGTCTGAGAAATTTTCGTTCCGTTATGGGCCTGCCCCACAACCTCAGTATCTGAATTGGGCTTATCAATAACTTTTCCTGATTGAGCCTCCTCCAGTACAACCTGAATATTTATACCAGGCCCAGCAGTCATTAGTCCACTAAGACTTTTCATATACCCACTCGTGAAAACCCCTACCTCTTCACCTAAATTGCGCCCATCACGCTTCTGATTATTAGAGGGGCTGCCAGCCACTACATTAACTGCGGACACCCCATTCCGGTTTGTGTTCCCCATATCTCTACTCATGGTTTCCACTACCAAAGATGGATCTGAAACATTTTTCATTCCATCCACCTTATTAGACCCACCATTAACCAACTCTGTCCTTTGTATAGTTGCCACCGAGTCCCCACTTGCCACATCTATATGGATGGCAGCATCCACGTCATCATCATCTTCCTTCAGGCTATCACCCACCTCTTCTCCCTGGTTCTCATGCATGTTAGAGCTAAGACACTCATGCATAGTGCACATACAAACCTCATTCACCACCCTGGTAATCACGATTTTCTCCTCACAAATTCGAACTGGGTAACTTCTGTCTCTACACTTCACCAAAACAACTGTGTTAATGAGGCCCATAAAATTAGTTACAATTCTAATTCTCCCACACCTGAATGATGTTTGATTAGAAGTTTCATCATCAATCTGGAGTACCACCCCCCATAACCTTCCGAGTTTCATAAAACTGTCATTGTTCCAAAGATTGAGTGGCACACCATAGCAGCTTAACCATACTCCTCGTTCTTGTTCAATGTAACCATTCTGCCCCCGTAAGGATACAGACTCACACCAATCCTTCAGACAATCGTGGAGTAAGGCTTGATTCTCCTTAAGATGGTCAGCTGATTTGAATGAGACTACGGCCATTCTACCCCCGCCTTCCTTTACGACAATATCCTTAGAACCTTTTTAAAGAACTGCTTTTTAAAACTCGGGAAAAGCTTGCAAGCATTTCAGCTTAACAACAAGGCTATCATAAAGCCAACCATTCCCAACTTCATTAGCATATACTACACTGCTCTCCCTCTACCTAGCAGGATCATCAGATAAAGCTTCGGCATAAGATTTTTGACCAACAAACCCCAGTGCAGGTATTCGACCTGACGATGGTTTAAACAGGCCCTCATTTCTTCCTTCTTTATTGATGACCACTAGGTTCTTCCTTAGAGGTTTGACAGAGTCGTCTTTCCCAAACGCTACTACCTTGACCTTAAGCTCCTTGTCGTCACACCACACTCCATTAGCCTTTTGGACCGCCATTGCGGCTGCAACTTGGCAATCATACCTGACTCACCCGAATGTTGACTTTGTCGCTTTCCTGGTTTTATTTGGAATGAAAACATCTCTGACGACTCCAAACTTTGTAAACAGAGTATGAAGACCTTTTGGACTCATGGACCAAGGAAGGTTGTCTACAATGACAGTAAACAACCCCGGTCTACCATCCTCATTGCTTTTAAAGAATTGTTTCCCTCTACCAGAAAGTACTGGCTTCCACCCTCATTTCTCTCGCTCCCTCATCTCCATTTCTTCCAGAATCAAAGGTTGCTGCATTGCAACTAGGACAAAGCTGCTGCTTTTTCATCCACTTCATTAGGTGCAATTGGGGCTTTAAAATTGGGATGTAGCGAGACTGACATTTTAATTACTACTAGTAAATCTATGCTATTGGGATGATAATAGTTGCTACTAGTGGTGGTTTGGTTTGTTCAGCTTCTTGGTGTTTGTGTCTTGGTGTTGAAAACAGAGGTTAACTTGGTGGGTTGCTACTGAGTGTGTTCTGGTGGTATTTTGTTTTGCCTTGTGCTTCTCTTTTTTTTTTTTTGGCTTTAGTTGGTTTCTCACCAACTCTTGATGGTGTGCTAGCAAGGGATTGGGTGATCATATTGGTGCCAACCTAGTTGGGATTGATATGTCTCACTATGATGTTTTTTGCACCCATCCTTCTTTTTTCTTTTTCTTTTTTTGATGTAATTAGTTCTTTGTTTCATCAATAAAAAAAATTTTTGCTGATCAAAAAAAAAATAGTTTAGTTAATTAGTTAGTGCATTAGAGTTGTATAATTAATTCATTAGTGTTAGTTTCGTTGATTTAGCATACTCATGTTTCATCTACTCGTATTGCATTCATCGAGGCTCGGTTCATCATTCTCATTCACATTGTCGTTTCAATCCTTCTCTGAATACATGCTTAAACCACATGCAATCAAATCATTTCATGTGCCATATTAGTAGTCGAGCCTAGTAATTGCATATTACATGTGTTGCGTTTAGTTAGGAATCATGCAGATTTTCCTAAACTTTGTTTTGTAGCTGTTCGCGGAATGTCAGTAAATATGTGAGTTGTTATGTTTTAGCATCCCACTTGTACATAATTTTCATATTATGTTTAGCATCCTACCAAGTAGCTAATTGCTTGAGTGATAAATTGTTTGAATGCCTGTAGATGAAGGCTTGTTGCTTGAATTGGAATGATTCAACGATTGTACGTTTTAAGCCTACTTTGTAGTGGCAAATTCACAAACTTTAAGCCCACTTTGTTAAGTGGCAAATTCAAACACTTTTCGAAAAACAAACATGAAATTGAATTGTTCTAATTTGAGCAAACTAGTCTATACGTGTATGCTTCACATAATAAATTTTAGGATTTACGAAATAATCAGAATATGAACATATAAGAAAAATAAAATTCATATCATAGCTTAGTAGAGGTCGATCTTTTAATCGGGTGAGCGGGGGTGCTCATTATTGACCTTCCCCTCTCATACCTAAGGTTCCGAGCCAAGCATCTTTGGTTACGACACGAGTCATGGATTTCCTAATTTCTCAAAAATATTAGGTGGCGACTCTGAGATCTGATGACGCTGTCCATTTCTGGAAAATGTGTTTTGCAATAAAATGGATTTTCTAAAATTTTCCAAATCTAGACTCTCATCTATGTTTCACATTGCACTCGAGAGACTAGATCAAAGAGATCGAGGGTCCGAACTATTTAATACGCACGGATACCCCCCGGGCATGTTACAGTTTTTGGCGACTTTGCTGGGGATTTTATGAAACCTTGACTCGAACTCCATGATATGACTTTTATTTTCAATTATATGTTTATTGCATTGCATGCATTGGTGCACTTAAAGTCCCTGTGTTGCCCAGATACTGGTGGGAGCACAGGCACACTTTTTGTGACACTACACCTATCTCTACGTTACTTTGAAGGCCTTATGTTATAATCTTTTGAGATTTAAAGGTTCTGAGACTTTGAAGAGATGCTATATTGACTCTTTTGATTTCCTAAGATCTTCATTGGTTATGACCCAAAGGGCTCTTTGGTAACGTCACCTTGACTTCAACCCCCTAGAATAGAGCCAACCTTGTACATATAGTGGGCTATAGTACCTTTCAAAATTAAGACAGGATGCTCTCCCATTTCTAGGATATATGATACCACTTGTTTGAATAGTGAACCCTAGATCATTTCAAAAGCTAGGACAGGATAACCCTACCCTCCGTAGGGTTGTTTGTTCTCTTTCCTGCTATGTGTTATGTGCAATGTATTGGATCTATACAGGGGTTCTCAAATTTGAATCAGTGGTTCAGGCATTTCAGTTTGTGGGGTTCAGTGTGTTTTTAGTGAGGGCATAATTGGAAGTTCCGTTTTGTTTCTGTAATTGGGGAGTGACCACCTGTTGATTGCACGGGCTTTATTTTGAATATTGTGGATGGCCCACACATTGACTGGCAATTTGAGAATGGTTTTATTCTGAGTTCTGAATTGAGTA